CCTCAACACCCGCTCCACGGGAACGAGGGTTCACACGGGCCTCAACACCCGCTCCACGGGAACGAGGGTTCACACGGGCAAGAGAAAACAGGCTCAAGAAAAACAAATTAACAACACCTGCAACTAATAATCATGACAACACCTGACTCCTATAGATAACATCAGATCTTTGGCTGTCCGAGTTTCTCCCGTGCAGGGTCAAAACAAGTTTAGCACGTGCAGTCCTTAAAAAGGAACAAATGTCGTCTTTCAAAAAGCCAGTGGGCCATGGCTGGCTTCCCACACAAGACCCTCCCAACAATGAAGAAAGTTGTCTAACTTCCTCAGAATGGTTTTTGACAGGAAAGGGAGTAAGGCAGAGTTGTTGAAATCTGGGATCACAGTCCAATCGAGTATGCAACCACAATCCTTCAACTTCTTTGTTTAATAAGTCCATTTGTTGCTGAAATATAGCCAAACCAGTTCCAATGAATCCTTGTTCTGGACAATAAAGTCTCCGCTTGTGCACCAAGACACATCCTGGAGTTTTCTCTGCTGCTTCAGTGTTGGGGGTCCCAGTCTGGTCTCCTCAGTGGAAACCCAGCTTCAAGTTGTTCAGGGATAGTGGTGGATCTATAAATGTACCTCTAACCATAAGTAGGTGGAGCAGAAGAAAAGGGAGAATACCTGGACCAAAAGGTTATTCTCATAAACAATATGCTGGAAAACCTGCATGGTCAAACAATATGAATACATTTTGTATACCAGATATGAATTCTTATGTCCTGAAATGTAGCTTTGTATCAATAAGTTCTTCCTTTTTTTTTTAACAGAAAATAACCATCAGAAACATAAACATATTTATTATTCAGACCTTTGATAATAGCCAATTAAACATTTTTAACGACATATTTAACAAGATATATCTTTTTTTTAAAAAAAAAATCAACAATCATTTGACGTCATTCTAATCAAAAACATACAAACATCTTTGAACATTTAAGACAAACATATAACACTTAAGACAGACAAACATATAAGACAATTTTAACGAGTGCACTCAGATGGTTTTGGCCAATTGAATTATAAAATTTTCGTTATGACTAGTCAGAATTTTTGCAGATCAAAATTAACAGAGATCTCTTGTAGAATTAGGGTTAAAGGAATGAAAGCTCTTCTTGACTGTAAATGTAAACCTTTTTATATGATTTCCATACACCTTCTCTATATACTTAGGCCTTCTGGTCTTGTATATCTTTACCTGTTTTTTGTTTTTGTTTTTGTTTTTGTTTTTGTTTTACAAGATGCAAAAGCATAACTCTTACTCATAGCTTTCCTAATATTTTTCTGTCTCATTTACTATTAACCTTCTATTTGTGGATGTAAAAAATAATCATTTACTATGACAGGCAAAGTATGAAAAAGCACATAAGATGTAAAAGCAGGAAGAATTAGCTCTTAGGAGGAGCCTTCACAATCTTTATCTTTAAGGGATTAACAGAGTCTGTAACAACATCCCACCAAGTAACACCGGAAGATTGTCTTTGGTCCTTAACCCTTCATGCACCTCGTTTAAGGCTTCCAAGATTTCCTTTTTTATTGGAGTCCTGAGAGCTGTGTTTAACAAAGCCCAATTAAAAGGAGCACCTTCTGGAAAACGATTAGGCTCGGCCAGAAGGGCTTCATTCAATTGGTTTCCAACTGTTTCCCATACTTCAGCATTATTTCTGCCTTATCACATAGCCATGGACAAATTGTGTCCAGAATCTTAACAAAGGCCTCTAATCGTTCCCTCTCAACTGTTACTCCCTGTGCCTTCAATAGGCTCTGAATTGAATTTGCTAGATAATTTCTGGATTCTGATTGTCCCATTTTTTTTTCTTTCTTTTTTTTTTCTTTTCTTCCCTAATGGACTTGACACTCTCTACCTTCTATCACTTTTTTATTTTTACCTTCTTTCTCTTTTTCTTTTTACCTTCCTCCGGAGCACCGTCGCTACCTTCGACCTGGGTCCGGGGTTCTCCTCCGGAGCACCATCGCTGCCTTCGACCTGGGTCCGGGGTTCTCCTCCGGAGCACCGTCGCTGCCTCCGACCTGGGTCCGGGGTTCATGAAGTGAACAGTAGACTTACTGCAAGGATCAGGTGCAGCAGTCAGTCCTCTGGAGCACCGTCGCTGCCTTCGACCTGTGTCCAGGATTACATATCCTGATCTACTTTCAGGTCCCTGTTCGGGTGCCACTTGTCGCGAGCCGCGACGTCAGATCCTGCCAGCAGGACCTAAACCTGAAAGGATGAGGACAGAGAGACGGGAGGCACCTTTTTTTCTCAAGTTCCTTGCTTGCTCGCTTTATTACCGAACCTCTTCCTTTTATACTCTCCAGCTGCATGGGAGCGAGGGCTGCACGGGAGCGAGAGTACGGCCCACACATTCCAGAGGGAAACAATAACCACCATTATGGGTTACATCTGCTACCAGCTGAACTCGCCCGTGGCTATGGGCGAGAGCACGTCTGTGCCAGCGAGGTGACTCAAAGTTCAATCATGGCTAGGCCTGTGTCAAGGCTCACCATAATGGCTCGCCAGTTTCCTAAATTATGACACAAGACCTGGTTAGATTAGAATGACTGGCTCAAAATTACCAGACTCTACATACTGAGCTATGCAGTGGTTAATACTCCAATCTGCATGGTCATTATACAAAGGCTATTGACCATAAAACCCATGTAAGCTTGTTCTGTTTATGACCGCACTTAATTTTTCCCAGAGGTAGAAGCTTTGTGACTCTTTTTCTTAGTTTATGTTGCTCAACTCTCAGGGTTTGCATGACATTTTATGTTAATAAAATCTACTACTATTTGTTCTTGTATTATTTGTTCTAATTCATTATATTCCAGGAAGTTAAAGATCTTAGCCAGGAGGGAAGGGTATAGTCCCCCTGTTCACAGCACACAGTATACACACTTAGCTACTCATGTGTTATCCTGGTATTTTTCTCACTTGGATTTTCCTTTGTCTCATGATTTATTTAAACACGTGGTGGTTGGGACCAAAACCAAGCATCAATACCCTGTAGTAAATTAATGACCTAATGAAGTAATAATTGAACGAATTCTCCTGGCAGTTTACACTTGGTCTCTCGTAGCATCATTCCTATAATTTTTAAAATACACAAAATCTGACAGGCATTGTAGTTTTGCTGCTCTCCTCACTCCTGTGTCCAGAATGCAGGTTGCTTGATGTGAGAAACGTTGTTGTAACCTTCTTCCAACCCCTTATAAAATGCTCCTTGAATTGTGTTGAATTAAATGGAACACAGAGGAGAAGCCCCCAAACACTAGGTTTTCTTTCTTTCTTTCAGAAGGAAAATCTGTACACAAATTCTTTACTTAAGACACGGAGGTTAATCTGAAGTAAGCAGGGACTACAGCACTGTGACTGTACATTCTGACACGTGAGAAAGGATTTCAAATAAAGTCACATTTGAAAAGCTAAGTGGAGATTATGAAGCTGTAAAGTTAACCCGCACGAACAGCTCGCCATGCGCTGTCACCTCCATCCAGACTGAAGCTGTCCCGGGTTCTGTCCCCTCCTTGAATGGGCACGATTCTTTCCATGGAGGTCCCTGCAGACGTCTGAAGGGCTGTGGTGATCCTGTCAGCTCTTCTCAACACTCGTCTTTCAAGCATCCAGTTGAGAAATCAGTTTCTTAGGCTTTTTGTCACCTATGACTTGGTAATGGTACTGCACTGCATCACTCAGATTTTTTAGCTTAATGTGGCTCTTAAATGTAGGGCTCTCAACTTCTCCACTAGATCTGTAGCGCCCCACACCGTGTGACGCAGGGAATAGATAAATAAACGTATAAGCGAAGAAGACACAGTTGTGGAAGGCGGGATGCCCATTTGGTAGTGACTTTCTAGTAATAAAGACAAAGAATTTTAAGATTCAAGACAAATTTAGGATAAAATAATAATAACTGCTTCAAGACCAAGTAAGAATAAGAAAACTGAATTAACACTATGAATATAACTGCTTTATTTTAAAAAGGTATGGAAATACTCATTTTAATAAATGAAATAAAACCCTCCCTTTTAAATGTCTTTTCGGTTTTTTTTTTTATGTTTTTGTTAAAAAACAAAACACCTTCCTTTTAGTTTTGGTTAGTGTTCATAGGACTGGTAAGAAAATCTGTTCCCAAGAGTTAATATAATAGGACTTTCACTGAGTTAGAAAACAGGTGTGGATTAGTGGTCAGAGCAATTAGCAGGAGTCGGCAAATTATTTGTCGAATGCGTCAATAAGTGGACAATTTAAATGTATATTCAAATATGGGTCCTTCTCTCTCTTCTGAAGTCATTAGCATAATTATTATCTTTCAGTTGGCTATTTGGGTAAGATTAAGTTATTCTGCCTTGGAAAATATGAAAATGCGTGTAATTTTCAAATAAAATTTTAAATTCTTCTAACACTTTAATAAAGAATTAACCTTGAAATTGATGTTTTTGTTTCGATTAATCAGCGCTAATAACCAAAGAGCACGACGGCCCTGCATTTAGGATGGTGCCTGACGTAAGCCCAGTTCTTTCCCCCAATAAAGTGATTTTATACTTAATGACTTTTCCTCCTATACAATAGCAAGTCTCAGTGGTTACCTAATTATGAACAAACCTCAACGGAGAACTTTAGCCGCAACTCTTTCACCTAGTGATTTTTTTCAAAGCGAAAGCAAGCGCAGACACATTCCTCACCGACACCATCTCGCATATGGCTCCAGAAATTTTTGCTAAAATGCCCTCATCCTTAATCCCCCTCCCATAAACACTTCCTTAATATTTGGCAAAAAGTAAAGCCGTCTGGACTTTTGCGCAGATTAAATTTCCGAGTCAAAAAACCCGGATGAAGCCACTGTGAGATTGACGTGGATACTGACCAATAAAGTTGCAGAAGGGCGGATCTTTCTCTGGCTGTTCCAATCGGCACGCAGAGCGTCTTCGTTTCCAAGGTGAACGCGGAAGTCAGGCCTTCGCGGGCCCCATGGAGCCTCTCCTGCAGCAGCTGGAGCGGTTTTCTGAAGTTCTGTCCGTGTCTCTCACTAACCACGTGAGCACTTGGGGCCCCGAGACCGTGCGCCGGGCCTTTCAGTGGGCTCGCTACCTGCGCCACGTGCACCGGCGCTTCCGCAGCCACGGCCGTATCCGCGCCGCTGTGGAAAG